TGAGCTGAGCCCCGCTGACGCCCTGCCCCGTTCCCACAGCGAGCCAAGCTGGAGGCGGCCGTGGCCGAGGCCGAGGAGCGCGGGGAGCTGGCCCTGAAGGACGCGAGGGCCAAGCTGGCCGAGCTGGAGGACGCCCTGCAGAAGGCCAAGGCCGACCTGGCCCGGCAGCTCCGCGAGTACCAGGAGCTCATGAACGTCAAGCTGGCCCTGGACATCGAGATCGCGACCTACAGGAAGCTGCTGGAGGGGGAGGAGAGCAGGTGGGAATTCCCTGGGGAATGGAGCCGGAACTCTGCCCCCCGGGACAGCGGGAGAGCCCAGCTCCCATTTCCACGGGGAAACACAGGCAAAAAAATCTCCTTTTTAGCTGATTTTTGGTCCTGAAGAGGCTTAATTCCCTGTGGAATTAAGACACAACTTCCAGGGCTCTCCAATCCCCCCAGCTGGGGACATCAGGAGAGCCCATCTCCCATTTCCACGGGGAAACACGGGGAAAAAAAATCTCCTTTTTAGCTGATTTTTGGTCCTGAAGGGGCTTAGTTCCCTGTGGAATTAAGACACAACTTCCAGGGCTCTCCAATCCCCCCAGCCGGGGACAGCGGGAGAGCCCAGCTCCAATTCCCACACAGGAAAGGGAAACACAGGCAAAAAACCCCTTTTTTTAGCTGGTTTTTGGTCTTGAAGGGGCTTTGGTGGAAGAGCCAAACTGGCAAATTCTGGGGGGTAAAAATATTGAGAGTTTTGGGGAAAATAAGCAAGGGAGGGAAAAGATTGGTTTCCATCATAAGCAAAGAAGGGGGAAATTGGTTTCCACCACCTGTGGTGCTGTGGGAGAGCGATTCCAAGGGGAAATCCCTGTGGAATTAAGACACAACTTCCAGAGCTCTCCAATCCCCCCAGCTGGGGACAGCGGGAGAGCCCAGCTCCAATTCCCACACAGGAAAGAGAAACACAGGCAAAAAAACCTCCTTTTTTATCTGATTTTTGGTCCTGGAGGGGCTTAATTCCCTGTGGAATTAAGGCAGCACTTCCAGGGTTCTCCAATCCCCCCAGCTGGGGACATCAGGAGAGCCCAGCTCCCATTTCCACACAGGAAAGGGAAATACAAGCAAAAAAATCTCCTTTTTTAGCTGATTTTTGGTCCTTCAGGGGCTCTGGCTGAAGAGCCGAACTGGCAAATTCTGGAGGGAAAATATTGGTGCTTTCAGTGAAAACAAGGAAAGAAGGAAAAAAATTGGCTTCAACCACTTGTGGTGCCGTGGCAGAACGTTCCCAAGGGGAAATCCCTGTGGGATTAGGGCAAAACTTCCGAGTTCTCTCACCTCTCCACCGGGATGAGGGGCTGGATCCAGCCCCGGGGGGAGGTGGATCCCGCGGGAAGGGTCACTCCTGAATTCCCAGGAATTCCTGGATCCCCCGGGAAGGGTCACTCCTGAATTCCCAGGAATTCCTGGATCCCGCGGGAAGGGTCACTCCTGAATTCCCAGGAATTCCTGGATCCCCCGGGAAGGGTCACTCCTGAATTCCCAGGAATTCCTGGATCCCCCGGGAAGGGTCACTCCTGAATTCCCAGGAATTCCTGGATCCCGCGGGAAGGGTCATTCCTGAATTCCCAGG